CTGTAAAACCAAAGGAGGGTTAATGAAATGTCACCTCAGAAGATACACCGTGTAACTAGGTAACACCTAGGGCAGACTTATGTCTATCCTGGACACTGCACAAAATGCCACAAAACTCCGCTGTTGTCATTTGTTGCATTCTGTGCGTACAACACGGAACCTAGAGAGAACCAATTGAAGGTTAAAGTTCTACGGCAACATGAGCTCTTTCAATGCCACACTACAAGCTCCCGAGAGCTCTATTGAGTAACTTCAGGTATATCGGAGGTCTATTGGATGCTCGGTTGTGCGATTGGGGCTGCGATTGGCTATGACATGGGGGGTGGGGCTCAGAGGATCGGTCTATTCCAGGGGTGAAAGGTGGCAGTTCTTTCCAACCTCGTTATCCGCTATCATGGGACCCAGCTTCTTCTCCTTCAGTACCATCCACAGGCCGAAGAGGAACATGATGAAGCCGTGGCCGGTGTCTCCAAACATCACGGAGAACAGGAACGGAAAAGTGATGATGGCGTAAGGGGCTGGACGAAAGAAAAAAAAATGGACACAGAAGAAAATGAATCGGGTGATACATCAATACAAAAAGCTCAGGTTGTTCTTTCTTGTGTACACTAAAACAGGAATAACTGAAAATAGGGCAGTGAGACTCATTTTGTTGGATCCAGTCACAAATGAGTAAGGCCTCCACTTAAAGCTCTACACCTCTAATTAACATCCACAAAACTCTAGAGAAAGTACAATCATACATATAAAATGTGCCGTGTCCTCGGGTAACTATGTTCTGAAATCCTTCCTGTCTTACATGCTAGAGAGATCGAGAACAGCTTTTCCCAAAAAACAAAAAGATGAAAAAAAGTCCGTGATTGTAACCCCCAAAATGTCGCATTTCCTACCCGGGTTGACTTCACGGTAGCTGGCCACGCCGTACGAGTCCACGATGCTCTGGAACACCTCAGTGAACTTGTTGGTCTTATTGTAGGTGGGCGGGTTCTCGTGTGTGTCCATACGATTCAGGATGGATGGAACGGTGGAGCCACTGCGCTCCTGTTGTCCAGACGGGATGGGAGAGAATCGGGGCGAAGGGGTGGTGCGGGGAAAACAGGCAAGGTTCAGTTTCCAAAACTAAATATACGTGTTACTTCCCTACTGGTATGATTTATATGCCGAGGCCCAAAGCTTCTCTCAAGGGGTGCCCAAGAGTTTCCTGGGATAAGACATGATTTCTGGGAGGGTGAACTAAAGGTTATCTATGATATGTAAATGCTACTATTGTTGAGCATTTCTGGTGATAAAACTAAGGATTCCTGGTACCAACGCTCGCAAGCCTGGAGAGATCTTCTCACTGGATTGGATGAGATTGAGTGGCAATTATTGAAGCTGTAAGGGCGCAAACTCTGTACAGAGAAGGCAAATTGAGGTGGTCCTCTGACTGAAGGATGGAATACAGTGGCAAGGTGAGTGGGGCGGTGACGGTCGTACTCACCGTTCCCCTGCGCAACCCCATCTGGATCTTGTCCAGGTCAGCCACCGGGCACCAACACTCAGCGATCAGACACTTCTGGGTCACGTCCAGGTTGAAGAGGTTGAGGGTGTGGTAGACGGCCTTCAGCTTGCGCACCTTGATGAACCAGACCCGCACGTTCTTGGCGGCCGAGGACAGGACGCGCTGCCGGTGCTCCTCTGTCTGGCTCAGGACCTGTCAACGGGCATGACAAAGTGTCACTGTCAAGTGCTGTAGTCAAGCCTGGAGGTCCATTCGCTCATCCCCTTCACAAGTCCAGTCACGGGATCGATCCAAAGTAAGGGATGAACAATAATAAAGGAGTGCTTTTTTGGCTTAAAACTGGGTGATCCGCGACAGATCCCGATTTCGACACTACCGTTACACACAAAACACAACATCAACAGAAGCAATTCACACCATCCGATATTTCCAGAATACTCACAGCCTGTAGATCTTCGATCCGTGTCATGACGCCGATGGCCATCTCCCGTCGTTCGGGCTGCGTCTCTGGGCAGGGGTACAGGGTGGCACGGAACCTGAGGCAAAAAAAAAGGGTAGACGCCATCCCCCCAAAATTTAGTTGATCAGCAACACCAATCGAGGAACATGTCATAGATAAAAAAAAATGGCTGAAATAAGGCAAAGTTTAATTCTGTTCTTGTGAGCTTTTTTATAAAGTTCATTATGTACAGAGCAACGAAAACGACCACTGAATATGTTTAACCACTTGCCGCCGGGGTTTCCGGTACCGGACACATATTCCTTATACCTGTGGCCGGGGTATCCAAACCGGACAAAGGGAACCGGGCCTTGTAACAAAGGACTGTACTCGTAACAAAAGACCAGGCCGCTGGGCATTACTAACATTTTTTCACTCTCAATAGTGGCAATAATCCAGCCTTGTTTTGAAACAGTATACCACGGTTTGGGGGATTTAGCGCAAGCGGATTACCACCAGGGACAAAAGTGCTCCACCACTGCAGCGATGAGTCACACAGTACCACTGCATGCTAATCTGGCCCCTATTGAAACGAAGTCAGCAGCGCACTGTGCCAGTTTCGTGAACAAAAGAAAATTTTGTAACACTGCACAATCTGGGCTCTTTTTACAAGGCTGCAGGCCAGGCTGAAATACTCCGGCATCAATAGATGTTGTCTGTCAGATTAGAGCAGAAAACCAGGCAGTCCTTTGTGTGGGTGTAAGTGTACCGTAAATGAAGAATTTTGAAAACAGAACAAAATGATAATTATTCCGCCCCAGCATCATCAACACTGATAACTGCCACTAGTGCAAAGTGGTCAAACTGCTGAGAATTTTAATCTTAGACTCTCTAAACATTCTTCAAGTCAATATTTCCCTTTTCCACTATGAAGTAAAAATCGGCAAATATAACAAGATAGTATGATCTCCAAATTCTTGATGGAGAATCTAGGATGATGCAACTTTTACTTCAACTTTACGAAGAGAAAACTTGAATTTGACAGGCCCAAACAGCAGAACAATGATTGATTCATGTTGAGAATTACATGGGAGTGATGACTCCCATGTCAAGAAGAAAGAAAGCAGCCATTTTACTTACCCTTCACAGATTTTCTTCACCCGGTTCTTCAGCTGGTCTCCTTGGAAGAAGATAATAAAGACTGACTTGTGTACTTGGTCCCCCTGCAGTCAGGAATAAAAAAGTAAAGAACATTTACTCCTTAACAAATTTGGTTCAAATTCCAAACTGTAACAGGCTACCAGGAGAATCCACAAGTTATTTACAAGTTGAAATCAACTTAATATGAATATATTCATGCTTTTGCAACAATCCTACACTTCAGGAAACACTCATTCTGCAAGACGTTTCCTCTACATTGGAGAATTTAATACTCAATTACTCAATTAATAAATACTCCTGAGTACTGTACATTTTAGGGTATGGCTATTACAAATGGCAATTGCAATTGGCTGCAAATGGTATCAATCTTCGGCCATTTCTTGACCTCTGACCTTGAGCCGAACAAGTAGAAAAGAGGAATGATCTATTTTCTTACGGTAGTGGGGTCCTCCAGGGGCGTGTCGATCTCAGCCTGACGGAGGAACACGTTACCGCGGCAGACACGCCACAGCATCTGCTCAAAGGCTGGGATGCGTTCGCGCTGAATGACGCCTGCCACAAAGCTGTGAACGGGTAGCAACAAAGTACAAACCGTGACAACGTGCACCACCTCCCTTTAGTTAATACCGTGTGTTGTCTGGTGTAAGGTTTATCTTCCGTTTGTAAACAGAACTTTCAACCGACTGAATATGGTAAATTTGGATATTTGTTTTGGCTTCTAGAGTTTGAATGCAACTTGATAGCGAGGATGATTTCCATACTTCTGTTGAAGGCATATCTTGCAGCTTTATCACACAGTTTCAAAATGCGGATTACCAGTCAAGTGGTTGCAGTGCCTGAAAATATGTGGTATTTCCTTGAGCCATTTTGAAATCTTCCCACTTATGTCCATGAGCAAGACACTTTACCACAATCACATCAGGGCCATGCTAAGCAAGAGCAAGATTGCCTAAGATCTTATCCTGTGGTCTTATGCCTAGGAGTAATAATTAGGATACATGTGTCTTGTGGCATTGGTTCACAGACTATAGAACAAAAAAATTGGGTCAGCGGTCAACCGTGGTCAAACCAACAAGAAAGACCCACCCAAGTCTCATGGGCATGCCGGTGCGAGGTCCCTCGTCTCCCAGGAGCGTGTGGGCCTCCTCCTCCTTGTCCGCATCGTGCATCTGCTGGTGATGCAATTCAGCCTGTTTATATGATGGCGGGGGGTTCGACGGAGTGGGGCAAGGGGAGGACGGGACAGGGGAGAAGAGGGCAAGAACAGGGTAGGGGAAAGGGATAGCAGAGGGACGGGGGAGGGGGGTGGACGGTTAGGAGTAGGATGGGATGGAGAGAAGGAAGGAGGGGTAGGTAGCACAAGTTGTAACACAAGACGCCATCAAGGCCCACACATGCATGGCACAGATGCAAGATGCCAAAATAAACAAACAAAACAAAACGACCAAACCAACAAAAATTTGCAAATGAACACTAATACTAGACAGATGGAACTACAGACTTTTCTCACTGTGAGGTTGGAGTGTGGCCTCCAAGCTACGCAAGGACAAACTTTTTGTTCGCCTCGATCATTACATTTCTTCATTTCTCCCAGAAACGCTTAGCTTGAGGTCATAGCGCCAGCCACGACTCTGACTTAGAATGAGGCTCGTAATGCAAAAGTATTGCTCTGCGCAGCCAGTCTCCACCGAATGAGAAAAGCCTTTTGGGAAAAGTCAGGTAAATGTAGCACGACAACCAGGTGTTAACGGCGGAACTGAACTTAAACTGAAGACATCTAGGTTTACAGGTGCATGTAGACGTTGGTGTACACCTGGGGTAGAACCAGTCTTTTGTTAACATGCAAAGCAAAATAAAAAATCATTCAATATACTCCATGAGTTCTTTAGTAAGGCAGACAGATGGGAAACAATTCAGAATAACTTATTATCTATCCTTTTCTTTATTTTTGTTATTCAAATCAGATGTAAATCATTGCCACATTACCCCATGTGTACACCCATGTGTGCTTCATATAAGGTTAATTTATTCACAATATTTTACATATCATTACACTCATTTGAATACGGATACAGGTTTGACCTTCAATGGGCATTTGGTGCATCCTGAAACAAACACAATGTAGATGTATTATGTGAGCATATTCCCACTTGACCAAGCTTGACCACTTGACATGAGAACTTGACCACTGCCAGCCAAATATCTCTATTCGACGCATGAGAGAATGTCAATTATTTTGGTCTCCACTTAAACGCTGAAATCCTAGCTGCAAGTCTGATCGATTGCAACTGGATAAAGTCCACCGTCAGGAGAGATTACTAGTCAGTAATGCTGCGGTATGGAAACTTGTGCAACGTTTAAAGGTGTATACAATGGGGTCTTTTTTTTACCAATCGATTAATCAATATCGTTCAGTACAACTTTACTCCAGCTGGTTAGAGAGTCAAAAACTTGTGTTCAGTGAAGAAACGTTGATACTTTATATGGACAGTGTACAGTTAATCGTTGAAACCACCATATGAGCCCTTATGAAATATGATCACATCAATCACAGCGATCACAGCAATCTCCCCTCTTGCTGACAGGCATGCACACCAATCAATGCCAATGCCTTCCAGCAGCAAGCAAACATGATCCAACAGGTGCCATCCACACGTAACATACACTGGTCTGGAATCCCAACTCCCCTTCGTTCCTTTAACCACTTTGTGCCGGAGGATGTTTACATACAACCTGGCTATCTGTGAACACGGGCAGTGCTGATGGGTTAAGACGTTGAGCTTGCCTCGAGCCACCTCCAAAAGCCCAAGAAGTTTGATGAGGCACACTGCGTGTCAAACTGGAATTTGGCTGCTGTGCCCAGCCTATTGTGGTAAATTTTGAGGTAACGGCAAGAAAGATTTTACCAATACTGTTCATTAAACAGCTCTTACAAATCCCCATTTGTGCCATTTGGCAGTGTGCCCGAGGCTGGCCGCAGTTTCTTGCCTTTTTTGAAAATCAAAATTTTCAGCCAGGAATCATTCCTGCCGCAACATGGTTAAAAATCCACCGAGGGGTTGGAGAGAATTTCTCTAGGAGTGAAGTGGGCAGACCCCATCTGCTGTTTAGTTTACAAAGGACGTGATGCTCCCCCGTGAGCCGTCGGTGCAAAGAGTGTGTCAGTGATTGTGCATCTTGAAAGATGTTAATCCAAAAGGCCAAAATGAATTAATCTTTCTTGCCCCCAAAACAGTTAATATAAGTACATGGGTGAAAGGGAACAGATCGAGAATGCCAAGGATAATTTTGTGCCAAGAATAGGTTTGTTACCCTTCTTTTTGGGTTCATGAGAGGCAACGACACGTACGCAATTCAAAAGCAGGTTAACTTTCCAGTCAATATCAAACTTCAGAAGTAAAAAAACAACTTGTTGGCTCTTTCATTGTGCCCTGGCATTTGATTCCTTGATTACTTTTTGTCTGATCAGAATATATCCCGTGTGAAGAGCAAAATGAAAACCATCTTGTAACTTGACAGGTGTTCTAGCAGTAGCATTTTTTCCCGAGCGTCTGTCCCGAAGTTGGTGACTGAAAAGCCTCGGTCTTTACATAAACTGGGCAGAGTCTGTGAACATATCCCTATTTTTGGTGATACCACGGGACAATCACTGTATTTGTTATGGTGGTTTTACATGAATATGAATTTTCTGCGGGTGACGACTGATCTTTAAATGATGACTGGTTAATAGTGGTGTCATATCATGAAATATAAACCGAGATATTTCATGACTTTGTGAAGTTTTATGCCTTTATAACAATTCTGTCAGTTTATGCATGATTTCCAAGCACTTCCATGATTTTTTCCAGATCACAATGGCCATTCCAAACATTAGACGGCCGTTATGTTTTTCCAAATTTTTCCAATACTTTGAAGATTTCTGTTGACTTTAAAACAAGTCCCCAGGAGTATATCTTACAGCTTCAATGTACAAGACACCATTCTCACGGATGCAACAAACTGGCCACAAAGTTGAGAAAGGCAGGGGGGACGAGGAGACTTCAGGGAGGGAGGGAAGGGAGGGAAAAGGGAGGGTGTGTCACTCAAATACACCCATGCAAATCACCGAAGGGGGAGGGGTGTTACTTGTTAATGAACAATGCCTCAAATGTCACAGGTATGTCATACATGGATGGCTTGCTGAGCCACAAACTTACAGTGTATTGGGCACAGTCACACAAACGCAGTGCAGACAGTGGTTAACATCAAAGGTTTTTTAAAATCGTGGAGACAACAAAGGGGAAAAAATGCACAACCATGATGAAAACTGTTTAGGACTGAGAGTCTATGGGTCAATCAACATGCACCGAGAACTAAACGTGTCCTCAACCAAGACTGTCCTAGATGCCATCCATTTTCTGGGAGAAAGCTTTCTCGGGAATTCGTCCATGACAACTTGTTCACTTCACCTGGTTCCCTGCAGGCACACCAACTGTCTCATAATCTCCTTTATTCTCTAAGAAGCAACATTTGTTGTGATGTCTTGACCCCGACAAATTTTCAGCTTTTGTACAAAAGTTCTGTCGCAATGACAGAGATAAACCAGGCACGAGGTTTGGGCAAATTGTTTATGACAGACATCAAAGAACTTGAGATTTTAACAAAGCTTTTAGAAACGGGCTGTAAAGATTTGTTCTGTTCATTTACCGGAAAAAGAAAATGCCCCAACTGTCTGCTCACAATCATAGCCAAGGTGAGTCATGTTCAAACTACGGTGTCCAAAACTCTTTGCGATGTCTCAGTGACGTCTGAGAACTTTGCTGGATGCAAACTGTGCGACATGCACAACAAATGCTGTCTCTACCACTGGCCAATCAGGCACTCCCTTGCATGTCTGTTCACATCGGCATTTCCCCTCTGGCGCTGATAAGCCTGGGATGACCCAGATAATTTCTACCAAATCAAAGTGCCCACAACACATGCGGGTGTTGCCACGGTACCAACAGGGCCAACAATTATTTCAGTACCGTTGTGGCACATTAATTCTACATTCTTTTCCTCAAAATTAATCAAATCTTGCATTTGGAGGCCTTTCTTTGCCAGGCAGAACAAACCAATAGTAAGCAATTCCAAAACATCTTGGATTACTGTTATTCTTAATTAATTTTCCTTATTCTTGAGCGTGAAGAAGCACTATTGTCCAAAATGGGACCAAGGCAGTCAGACTAAAATTTGTAAGGTGGTCCGTCTCATGTCAGACCCTGGTTTACACTAAATGCAACTCTGAACACAAAATAAGGGAAAGACTGTTTGCCTACGCCACGTTACCTCGTCAAAGAAGCTCTGGGTCTTGCGCAGGATGTGCTTTAGCTCCGTCAGCTCCAGGAAGTTCCTCTTCAGGGCTTCCTGGTTGGTGTTGACTTCTTTCATCTCCACTTCTAGTTTATCAAAGCAGGCCTGAAAGAAACAGAACAGCGAGGGGAAAGATGAAGAACGGACTGACAAATTTCAAAAACATTGGTCACATCCACTGAAAAGAAACTCATACAAAAGGTGAGCATTTGTCCTGCATTTTGTTAAGGTTTTGGTCGTGCCATTTACCAAAAAGTGTGAGGGTGATGGCATGTGTCTGAGGCGCTTTCATTGGACATTTCTACGCCCAGGTATTGGCTGAAAGCAATCTCATTGGACAGCTTAAGTAGGTGCACACCATTCAAGAACTCTGATTGGAGGGTTTCAATTTCTGTCTCTCCTTACCTCCAGGTCGATCATCTCGCGTGGGGCTGGAGCCTCAGGGTTTTCTCCTGTGTCCAGGACAGGAATGTCGGCCTTGTGGATTTCAGTCTCCAAAAATCCTGTCCAGCATTGACAAAAATCACAAAACACAACTGTGACTTCATCAGAGTTCATGCCAAGTTTTTATTTAAGACTCAACATTGGGGATCCTATCTTTGAGCTTAATGTGCAAATTTATTCAGAAGAACGAAAGACTACAGAGTTTTATGAGTATTAGTATTCTGGAAGTTAACGCTGCAAGCGAACACGAAGATAAAGCATTTAAAAACGGCAAAAAATAAGACTGGATAGCTCAGCTGGTACAATTCTTAGCAGAACCGATTTAATTCAAGTCAACTTTCTACGCCAAACAAGAACAGGTACCTTGAACTATTCTGTTTCAGAAATTCCTGGCATGTACAGTGTATTGCCATTACTTTTCCTCTCAAGGAAAAAAAAAAGGCAGGAACTTAGTTCAGGAGAGGAATAATTTCTAAACCTACGCAGTTTCCGTTCCATTTCATCACAGCGGCGAACTTCGTTGACAAACTTCCGCTGGAAGGCATTGACGTCAGGATTAAGCTGAAATAAGTGCACAAACACATCGGCATGTTAACTTTCCTCGTCAGTATCAGTACACAGATACACAATTTGTTATAACCAATAAGGACGGATAGTACTTACATCTCTGAACTGTACCAATCCAAGCTCTCCCAGCTCTGCAACACAATTGTACGCTGCCTCTGACTGGAGAAACACCTGTGCCAGGCACATCTCCTCACTGCGAAACAGCGACCCCATGATTGACAACACGTTAAGAAGACAGCTTTTAACTTCCTCCTATCAGATGAACCTACCAGATGAAAATACAGGCAAGGCAAAAACTGGTAAAAATGTCCAAAAAGCACAACATGAAACAGCGGTGATTAAATGCAAAAAAATGAAAAACAAGAATGCGCGTCAGCTGCACATGCAACAGCTGTTGTATGTGAACCTCCTTCAGTTCCTGCAAGAGCTCTCCTCATGGAGCAAGCAAATGCACGTTCAGCTATCACATCACAGAAAGTCAAGTCAGCCCCAGTAGCCCTACAAATGTTGCAGATGAACTCCTGTAGATACCTTATTGCAAACGCTACAGCAGGCGTTTCTGCTAAATACTCCTAACTGGTCTAAGTGCATAGGATTCAAAAGCCTGTGCCAAACACAAATGACATGTGGACACAGGCCACTGGCAAGAGAGATACAAAAGCTGGCTGACAAAAGACAAAGGAAAACTGACTGTGAACAAGCCCACCTGGACATCCCAGTTACTCCTATCACAGTAACCAATCAGCATCAACCCTAGGTAAGTTGCATAACACACTTACACGCATCTATCAGCTTACTGACTAAAGTCCACACTCATCTAGCAGGAGATTAAAATGTTTTCAGTCAAACACAAAGTAATGGACTACCAGCACAATCACATGATAGATTCTTGTCCCTGACAGCATGGTTATTCAATAACATCCAAACCAGTAAGTTGTAAATATAAACTCTGAGTTAGTTATCACTTCCCTTTGCAGGAAAGTCAAGTCAGACATGTACATGTATACAAACATCCGTGGTTGTTTCATATCCAAAGTATACAAATGACATCGGCAAGGTCATGAGGAGAAATCAATTACCCAGGAAAGCCAAGTCAATTGTGAAGTTCTGTTATGACCCACAAAATACTAAATCAGATGCATAAAAACGGGATGTTAGAGACCTTGCTGAGACTAACCCTGAAAAGGCCTGGCAAGGTAAACATTCATTTAGGAAACACCAACGGCTACATGAAGGACAGAAAAGGCAGGGAAAGTGCTCCATACAGGGTTCTCCAAAGGATTTTTCAAAACTGTGAGGGATTTCCATTGTGGTTTACAAACATTTTGCAATGCCATGGCATGGGGTGCGGGGCCCTTGGGTGGGCCCCGAAAATATTTGGCCTTTAGATGCTCTCAACTGCATTTTAGAGCATTTCCTGGGCTTTTCAAGTACCTTTCCTCAGGGAAAAAACAAGAGATTCAATATTTTTTTTAAATTTTGGATATCAATATTTTAACAAATGACTAGTTGTCCTCTACTTTTTATTCTACGATGTGGTATCAGCGGCTTCCCTTCCTCTGCCGGCGCCTTCCGTGCACGTGCTGCAGGTGGCTGCTTCGTTTGCCTTTGGGTTTCCATCAGCGCGGACTGCTGATGTTATTGGCTTAAGAAAAGAGCCTATCTTTGATTGAGTTTGTGCCATTGTGCGCGAGACAAAATGCGGTGATACGGCAATGAGAAATATCGTCCCCGTCATAGATGCCATTAATACTGTTACATAGGGCTACGGCTGCCGCCATGAGAAAAAAAACTTGTGTGGGATCGATGTTTTAAGTTCTGAAAATGGTATAGTATAAAATTTTAACCTTCGTAAATGCAGCCCCACTAGCCTATTGAGCACACAGCACAGAGAAAGCACACATGCGTGCGGGTGCATGTACGACGCCCATGACGAAAGTTCAGATTTCATGCCACACCAGCCATGAAGAACATTCGGTGCCGATGTACATGTACGGTGTGCAGTGTGGCCGCCAACGCCTGGTGCACAATGCATGTACTATGTAGGCTACCTATAGTATGTACATGTACACAGAAAAATGCAGGACTATTAACTGCTTTTTCGTCTAGATTTTCCGGACATGCAATCTGCATTATGTAAGATAC